TGGAGGCATCTTGCATGGGAGGACGAGATTGACAAAGAAATCCAGCATTGCCTGACATCCCAAATTGCAGTCTGTGGCCACCAGAGGAAGCAGGTGTTTGATTTTGAGTACATGAAAATCAAAACCCAACTTGTGTTCGATTGTGCAGTCATCATTCACTCTTTACTGTTAAAACATACAGAAGAATCTTCAAAGATATGGAGTTCTCTCACCAGAATTGTGGAAGATTTTATGTACTGTATCAAGAGGACAGACACACCATCATCAATGTTGTCTCCCAATAAGTCACGACAATAGAAGCCATGCTCACCTGCCATCAGCTCCATTGGGTTGGTCATGTTATCCAGATTTAAGACACCAGACTCACAAAAAACTTCCTCATCTTCCACCTTAGCCAAGGCAGCAATACTAGAGGAGTATTATGCAGTATATGTCCAGATACATCTTGAGACAGTATCTTCTTAGCCCACTAGAGAGTGTACAGATCCTGTATTGGTCTTATTTGGTTACAATCATCCATGAGTTCTAGGGAATGAATGAAACAATCAAATGATCCTGCAATTATTTCACCATTGCATGAACCCCTGATGCTAGTATTTATGCGCATGAAAATGGGACAATAGGTTCATACATTGGTACAATATGGAGGAGTTAAGATTATTAATAGGTGAAGTATTAAATTAGTAGTAAAACCAGATTGTTACATCAGTTTGCTATGCAATCAAATAATAATTTCACCCTGCAAACTCTTACAAGTTTTGTGCTACGTGTGTTCTTTTATTCCTCAGCACAGCTCTGATAATGGAGTAATAATCAAGCCTAAATGTAGTACTATATGTGCTCATTTACAATTCAGTGGGTTTCAGAGTCCTACTCACTAAATTAAGAATATTCAGAATTCTGTCCTTGTATTCTAAATCCACAACAAAACACCTTAACAGGCCAAAAATAGAAAACCCACATCCTAATAAAAGTGGATCATACCCAACACTTAAATCTACTGTACAGTACCTCTCCGTAAAACACAAGTTAATAACAGTGTATTTCCCTCATGTAAGAATGCATAACTAAAATAGGAGCGAGGTGTTTAACCTAAGGATACCACATAACCAGAAACCACAATTTCCAAATAAATAAAAAAACAAGCTGTCGTCTATAATCAAGCTCAGAGTCCGGAACTCTTTTCAGCAATCAGGTTCTTCAAATTTTAGTTAGAAGTCTGATTCGAAAGAGGAGCTCTCCCATGGCATAGTTTCAGAGGAAGGTGATAGATTATGATCAGTAATGATGTCTGTTTTCTCTGACTTCACAATTTATTCTGTCCTTTTCTGTGTTTATGCTATTGTTTATTCCTATGGAGGCTGACTTCTTGACCTCACTAGGAATGTTCTAGTCCTGGTTGAATTTTGAATCTGTATTTTTTAATATGGTGGGTTTCCATATTGACAGTAAAATCAATTAATCTGCGTAAAATATTAGGATTCTTGACCATCGGTATCTTCCTCCATGTTTACTTGCCTCTTGTCCCAAGAATAGCAACGGAAATACAGCCAAACAATAACCATTGTTTAAAATCTTCTGAGAAAGGCAATGAAGCTGCTGGGAAGTGTGGCTAAACTTACATAAACTCACATCCCCCTTCACAACAATATAAAAAAGATTTCAGCAATGCTTCTGCTTTCCACTGGTTATCAAGCACAGTTAGGAGGGACTATACATGTAATGACTCACATTGTAGGTTACGTTTCCAGCTGTAATGGGCTCTTCTGACAGTGCCTGATCTAGTCCTGTGCTAAAGTACAGCAGTGAGAATAGTGCATGAATGAAATGGTCTTAAGTCACAGACCGAAGTAGACTGCTTTCTCTTATACTATTAATGTTTCTCACGAGACAGACTTGTGTGATTGTATTACTTATGTTTTGTTTCAGTAAGACATTTTCTCTGTTCTTAATTATAGATCACTGACATTGCCAAGCATTTTTTTTATGTAAACCATAGATTGTTAGGCCAGGGAGAGATTTTCTGTTGTCTTCCAGTTGTTTTCTGTTTTTTCTTCTGACCTCTTAGCAACTGTCAAAATTTTGACTCCCTGTAGAAATAGAATAAATTAATTGTTAGAATATTTGAAAGCGTTTTATGTTTATTACATGTTATTTGCCATTAATTGTTCCTATTGAAATGTTTTAAGTATTGGAACCTATTTCAGTACTTTATTTTAAGAACTTGCACTTCTTTCTGAGGATTGTGCAGGGAGAAGGTAGTATCTGTGCCTTGACAGCTCGTGTTTTTCCTGAACTTAAGATACCCATTTGCAGATTTTCATCTCTGAAAACATGACATATGGCCAGCACATAATCATAAGTAATCATGGACAAGGAATAAATTGTATGTTTAGCTTTGGAGACACTTTTATTTCTCAATCAAATAAATAGGTATCACTGCTTGTGGAAGACATGGGTAGCGCACATGGGACTCTGTCACTGGACAATACAGTTGAATTGCTGTCCCTTCCTCCATGATAACAGCTGGGAGAATCTGCATGACTGCTGCTGGGAGAGGTATTAGTGGTATCTGTAAGGAGCATTCAACCTGTGGTGTGAGTGGACCCTAATCCCCCAGTATAGTATAAAACCCCATCTATGAATTTACTATGAATACTTTGTTACACTGTTCTCCTCCCCACTGATACCAGATGTGTGGTGAGCATACAGTCCCTATTAATTGTAAAGTGCTTTGAGTGGAGTGTCCAGAAAATAGCTATATGCATGTAAGGAATGTAATAATAATAAGAAAAATAATAATAATAAACCTCATAAAATTCTAACAGTCCCACCATTCCTTTCATTGTGTTAATATTGTTGTTGGTTTTGCTGGTAATTATAGCAGATTTTCTTACATGTGAAAACTTTCAAGTGCCTTGTTTTCCAAGGTGCACAAATTCAGGCAAAACTGCAGAGCAGGATTTTAATTGCCTTTGTTGCCGCCTTTGCAGAGCAAAATTGTGAAGTACTTTTAAGTTCCTCTAATAGTAGATTTGGAAACTTTTATTGAGGGGAAAGCAAGGGGGGTGGGGTGGTTGTGAGGAAATGGAAAAACAAAATGAAAATCTGTACAGTTTATTTATCAACAGTTTGATCATTAGCAGCAGTAGTGCTTTTTGATCGTTTCTTCTGTGGTAAATTTTGAACCACCCCCTGGAAATGGGGAATTATTTTTTTCAAAACTTTAATATTGATATTATCTGAAATGTACAGTACAGTTAGGTGACATTAAAAGACAACGCTGCAAGAGAGCAGTTGCTGCTTCCTGAGTTTCGTACTGTAGTGATTACACAATACAGCTGGTTTGGGCTGTTGTAGCTTTACTGCCATTGAATTAGCAATTTAAATGTGTGTACTAAGGCAGTCACCCTTCTTACTTCACCAGTCTGCAAAGTACTGTATCACTTCCAAGTAAAAATGGGAGTCCAACTAAAAACATGATGCTAATTGAGGGTTTCTTCTCCTTTCAACCCTCTACTGTACATCTTCTAGGTTGAATTTAATCCACACGTGGGTTTATTACTTATTTGAAGTCATTCTCAGTTAGATCATTTTAAACTTTTCTCTGCCCGCAGTCCTACAGTAGGTTACAGGAATAGGTACCGGTGAATGTTTAATTGCCAAGAATCTCTTTGATGTGTGTTCAGTCTTTTAATAAGTATTTGCTCTCTCTGAAATATCCAAAAACATCTTTTCAGACGACCAATTCATGTCATGCAGAAACAAATGCAAATTACACTGTCAGATAATCCTGTAAAAACCTTATTTTTGCATGTGCTTAATTTGCTTAAATGCGAAACAACAGGTTATAGAAACAGAGCCGATGCATCCAAATGCACAGTTCTGAAACCCGGCATTTGGGACACATTTAATGCTTAATTCCAACTTTTTAACAGATGAGTTAAGTAGTAAAACAAAACTAACAGGTCTCATTCAACAAATTATTAAACTTGCAGCCTAAGTAATAGTAATTAAGAGCTCGATTTTCTCTTGCAAGTGAGATGAAACAGGTAGTCTTGGCAGTCAGGACTTGGCATCCCTGTCTGAGCAGTTTCTAGCCCTCTGGGTTAATAACAGGTAATGAAGTTAATTTTGCCTTTCTCTGCTGTCATTACTTCATATTGGTAGCAGTATTCAGTGTGCTTCAAATAAGCACCTTTTGTCTAAATAGGTTAACATTATTGTTTTATGAAACTTTTTCAATAGGGGAACACAATCCTAGTCCTTGAAGGCTGCATCTGTCTGAGTAAATAATTCCGCTAATTACTGGACTGATTCAAATGATTTATTATATTTTGCCATTTGATACAGTTTTAGTCATTTAAGAAGCCTGCAAGCTTGTTGAGTGATGGTCTTCCAGCACCAGGACTGCACACGTCTTTAAGAGGTCTTGACATTCCTTTTTGTTTTGTTTTTTTTTCTTCTTTCTGATCACAGTGCCTCCAAAACCTGCTCACCTTCAGAGTCCATGCCCAGAGCCGCCACGACACCCTGCTGAGAGAAACCTGCGCACCAGAGGCACTATGGAAGACGGCAGCCTAGCAGGGAAATCCCGAGAAAAGCCCTCCAAAGTGTCAGACCTGATCAGCCATTTCGAAGAGAACAGGTAGTCGTGCTCGCTAGTACTGTACCTTTGTCATTTTCTGAGCTGTTAACACCATGCTGAGAAGCACAAAGAGAACACAAACCTCTTCAACTAAATCCATAAGAAGTTCATTACACATTACATTAAAAGTTACAGTTGATACAGTACATGAAAAGCATAAAAACATAAACATCTTAGAAGAAGAAATGTGCTTGGTTATTATTATTCATTCATATTGCTGGAAGGACCTCAGGATTTCACAAAGATTCTACACCACTGTTCAAAGAAAAATGATAGAACTGTTGGACAATATTTGACAGCATAATGGACTTTGGAATATTAAATTATTTCACAGCTATAGTGAGTATAATGACAAAATGTACATTGAACACTGTAGCACTGCATCTGGTGCAATTACATCTTTTTATACTGCTAAAACTAAAGAAATAGTTAATTTAAATACTGGGTGTTTTTATTCAGCATGCACGATTTAATAATAATAATAAATGAAGTAATATCGACGCAATCTCACTTAAGGCATATAGATGCATTCAAATTAGCCATATGTCTGGATTTCAAGTAAAGGTGTGTGCAAAAGTAATTTTAACAACAGAGGTATTAAGGAATGCTAAAAAGAGTTTTTATTAGAAGGCATGCTCATGTTGAAACGCTTCTTTTTTTGCTGACATATAGAACAACAAGGATAAGGCTTTTGTGCAGATTAATTTTTTGGGGGAGGTAAAAATCATTGCAAAAAATACCAGTGCTTCTGTGCTTTTTGGGGACCTCATGATCTTCATAGGTTGCCATGGTAAGGTGTACAATGTTTGTTTGAAAATCCTTTTTTCCCCATTGTCACTTTTGTATGGTTTGTGGTTGAATTCTCTTTGAATCTTTCTCCATGATTGAGCAGTTGTTTATTTGGCCGGGAGTGGGGGTAGGGTCAGAAACTCAGATCTGCTGAATTTCCCTTTTAAGTTATCAGCCGCTGTGGATAGAATTACTTCTCTCTGCACAAAAGTATCAGCGCTCAAATGTGTTGCAGCAAGAGTCGTGTTTATTTGTGAGTTTCCCTTCTGTGGTAGCTGAGGGAAAAATAATTGTGCAGTTTGCTGAAGGACAGACTAGACGGTGAGAGGACAAACCATACTGATGGGAGATGATAGGGTCGAGTTTAAATTAGTTGAGCAGCTGAATATGAAGTCTCTGTTTATCTATAAATAGCCTCATCCTGTTTCACTACAGACGTCTAAATCATCCTGCACATGGGGTAGGCACAACCGTTTATAAATAATTATTTGCTTAAATTTGAGGTAATCCACACTAAGTCTTTTTTCTTATAACTTAATTCTCCTGTCTTACATATCGAAATCCACTAAATGAGAGTTCCCAAAGTAGTTTATGCCCTTTTGATGTCTATCGCTTTACAGTGTGGTTCTACGTCTTTTTAAAAGCAGATGTATCCTGAGAGCTTTAGGCTGCTGCTAGCTGAGAAGCCGATAATTTTAGCCTGCGACGCACGTGTCTGTGTAGGTTTGCTGTGTAGCTCTCCTTTTCTGTGAAAAGAACTAGGGCAGAGAATCTCGTGGGATTGCAGCCCAGCCTCTGCACTCAGTGGCAGCAAAGTTTCCTTGCTGCTGTCATTGAAGTATTTCAACACAGTAGAGGAAGTTCATTCTGCTTAAGCAGTTTTTTTTTTCCGCTGCTATTGTCCTCTGTTTCTTACCCAATGATTTTTTTTCTGCCTTTTTCCTCCTTATTTCAAGCCACCCTGAAGGAAAGAGAGATGGGTCTCACCTCAAGCCCTCTTCCAGGCACCAGGTGAAACTCCACAACGCCAACTCTCCGCAATCCAGGTTCCAGCCCAGGCCAAAGCAGGAGCTTGTACTGTCCTCCCACAGCGCTGAATCGGCTGCTGAGGATGTGCTCACGCACACTACCAACGGCGTTTTAGCACAGATGGAAGGCAGTGATAAGGAGGTGCTGCCGCACACAAAAAGCAGCCTGGAGAGCCAGCCCCAGGAGCTTAGGATGAAAGCTGACCAGCCGCTGGTGAATGGTGATGGAGGGGACTTGAGCGCAAAAGCTCTGGAGGCACACCAAGACCAAGCTAAGAATAGGTTAAGCCAGGATCCTGCCAGCCCGCTGCCTGTGGAAACTGTGGACACTGGAGATCCCAAATCAGATGGGGAAAAGAAGGCCCGGGAGCCAAGTAAGGTGAGACAAAAGGATGTGTGGAATACAAGTAAAACATACCAGGGATGAAACACAGGGTTATAGGAACCTTTTTTATTTGTTTTTTTTTCTGTTCAGTTTGGCAAAGCAGAACTTAAATCTGTCATTCCACCCGTTTGTGTTTGAATTGCAAGTTTTGTTTTGAAAAATAAGCTTTGTGATTAGTTTCTTTATACCATTTAGCAATAGTAAGCAAGACAGTTTGTGACATTTTCTTCAAATGTCACATTATGAAAGCTTTCTCAAAGTGGCTATTCTTGTAAAACAGTTTTTTTTTCTCTGTAACATGAACTATAGTACAGTATGTCTATGTCTTTAGCCTAACAATGTACAGTTCAGCAGCCCAGCTGTCTCCCAAAGCCATCGAAGAAAGCGTTTTTATACATTTTGAAGAGTATAGATTTTAAAGAAAATCTGTCTCAGTTTTGGTTGGGTCACAAGAAGAATTCATTTACATTTTCCTGTTTAGGGAACTTGCCAGGTATTGTGAAAGCGTTTATCCTGGTTATCAGAGGTACCTTATCTGCACAATATTTTAAAAAAGAGAAGCTTTCAGTTTGAAAAAATAAATGTTCTGCATTGTAAATCTTAAAAAATAGAATATCATGTGGTCACATTCACACGTTAAATATGTTCAAAGTGTTTTCTGTTTGTAATGCAGTTGCCTTGTGCAGTCTCAGAGGAAGACACTGAAAGTTCTAATTTTGGATAACGTTGCAATGACTAACGTTTCAGGAAGTCCGTTTTCACAGTCTTCATCTCCCAGACTCTGCTAAATAAGTCTCTTCTGTTAACTAAAGATAAATTACAAGTCGAGGTTGTGAGAGGACAGTTATCCAACTTCTTTGTGGGATTCATAGGAATTCAAAAAAGATGCTGCAATAAATGTAATTACTACCGTTTTAAAAACATGTTTACAGATTCAGAAGAAAACAGTATTATTACAAAATAGTGTGATTTGTAGCGTAATTTAGGTACAGCAAAGCTTCACTTAACTGTGTGGCCTAGCATGCCGAAGTTTGAAAAAGGAGAGGTTACATAAGAGATGAGGCTGCTCACTTGCAACTTGTTTGTTGTGGAGTGACCTACTGATACAGTACATGATATGATACAGTACAAGATACAATATGAATAGTCGCGTACAAACCTGCATGATTAATTAAGAGACACAAAACTGTTGATTTGTTCTCGAACTGAAGCACAATTTCAGAATTCTGATATTCATAAAACCTGATAAAAGTCAGAATCTTTATTTTGAAATATAATTATAGAAATGTAAGTATCATAAGCTGCAACACGTCATTTGGGTTTGTATATGGTTTGTTTTTGGTCCACAGGCTGGGGCTCATTTTATAACATTGTGGAAGTATACAAATATTTACAGCTGTAAATCATTTTGCCTGGTTGTAAATGTCCAAATAAATGGATTTTTCTGGGTAGAAAGAGAACATTTTCATGTAGTTTTTGTAAAACAGCTTAAGTAGACAGTTTCACTTCTGAAAGAATGCATTGCATTTTGGTAGTTGAAAGGGGAAATGTATTTTTGCAGATTTTTGGAGTGGTGTGTAGGAACATAATGTACATAAATACATTGTCCAGATATTTTGTCTGTCAGGGCAAAATTCTCACATTTCAAAAGGCAACAAAAACACAAGGATGAGCGGTTTAAACAAATAATCCATTTAGGAAAGTAGAAAATGGTAGGCATCTTTGTGTCCATAACTTTCTCAGTGCACTTCTCTTAGTTCTGCAAGGATGTCTTGCAGAAAAATGGGTTTTGTTTTTTATCCCTCTGAGGTCCTCTTTTGTTTTTATTTTACAGGAGCCGCCTAATTTACTTTAGTCCCAATAGTTGTTTTCTTTCCCTAAGGCTGTACCCATTTCCATCATTGTCCCTTGTTTTAGCCACACCACAAACAGTAGTGTAGTGCCAATAGGGGGTCCCAGCCGCAGGCAGATGGTGGACCCGATCAGTAATCAATCAATAATTGATCGTAGAGCTTATCCTGCCCTGGGGAAAAGCACCTTTCCCGGCGACTCTTTCAGGAGGCCCTTCAGCTTGTGTGTTGAGGTCGATTTATGACCTGAAACATATAAAAGAAATAAAAACTTGTACATCAAAAACCAAGGATAGAGTCGAGGAACTATTATTTCAGGATCAGTGATAGGTTGAAGTGATAACAAAATCACACTTTTCTCAAAACTATAATGTCTAAGATATTACTGCCTACTCCAAATTCTGGGAAGACCGAATTAATGTGAGGTATTTTTTAGAATGTTGAAGGGACTGGGTTACACAATGGTGTCTGTGCTGGATTTATTTTTAGACAAAGAATCTAGAGGCCATTTGGGCAGTGGTAGCAAACCTATGTTAGTTTGCTAGCAGTATTGCAGTATTGATTCTCTCTTCACACTTGCAAACTTTTGGATATGAGGAATATAAAATTACCCTTTCTGCCATGATGTTTAAATTCATAGATATATTCATATCAGTCAATGAGGACATCTGTGCTGCTGGTTCATACCTAGTGACAAAAGGGCCAATTGTAAAATTTTCGTGACTGGACAGTACAGAAATAATAAAATTATTATGTGCTCTAAAATTATCACAGCTTCAAAATGAAGGAAAAAACAGGAAGTTTCTGAGACTAAAACTGAGTTGAGTTTTGTTTTAGTAGTTGAGGTGTCAAGCAACTGAAAGCGTAATGTAATTTTTTATTTTTTTGCAGGAAACAAATGAGCAGAAACTTTACAACATAGCCAATGAACTTCTACAAACTGAAAAGGCTTATGTTGCCCGGCTTAACCTCCTAGACCAAGTGAGTGCATTTAATTTAAGACTAAGGTGGTGAATGTGATGATGTAATGTTTGCCTTGATCTCCTTCAAGCCAACTGTAAGCATTCCTTAAATACAGTATTTGGGTTTGAGCACAATTTTATCATTTCATAATTTATGGGTCATACTGAGCACATACAGTACACTGTTACATACAGTACATACCCACACAAGTATATGTTTATACACACACACAACCTTACACACAGTGCAAACCCACACACATATTGTACATGTTTTACACTCACACACCCTACATACCCACACACATACATAAATGATCATCTGTTTTTCTTTTATATAGTTATATAGTACTATCTTGTCCTCTTCTGTCTTGTGTGTCGATTAAAGACTCTTGACACTGGATTGAAATGGAATCTTGGCCTGCCCATTAGGAGGAGCCAGTATTTAATATCCCAGCTACTAATGGATGTCAGTTTTTGTTTGACTCAGGTCTGAGCTGTTGCTAAATGCTCAAACATATCTCTGGCTGTGTTTTTCTGTGTAGCAGCTCTGCTCGGAAAGCACACAAGCTTTGAGAATTTCTTTAACAACAATAAATCAGAAAACATTTTGACCTGAGTGATACTTCCTGGACCTACCACAGCTCAGAAACATGTTTATCACTGAGCCAGGTTTATAACAGTAGGCGGCTACAGTAACAGTATTTTCAGATAGCCGTGCTACAGTATGGGCTACAGAAACAGTACATCATTTTACAAATTGTTAAAAACAGTCTTTACCAGTGATCCAATAAAGGTAGCCAACATTGAATCTGAACAGAGAAACATTTTATATGCGGTCTCCCATGGAATATGATCTTGTGGCCTAGGTTACAGACTCTGTAACCTCTGTAATTTAGACTGTAGATAATCCTAAGGAAGAAATGTGACCCCCCCCCCCCCCCCACTCTGGACTGAAGCTTCAATTAAATGAAAACGTTGATCCAGTTGCAAATTAGAAACCTGCTACTCCATAATAGGTTTTCTTTGGATAAACAAAAAAATGGCATCAGGTAAAAAAAAACATGTGATGAGATACAGTACAGGGTTTGAAACTTCCATCTAGCAAATGGTGGACCTCCTGAAGATGATTTACTGTACGACCACGTCCTTTTCAGTGGTTCAGAATTTTAAATACTCAGATCAGACATAGAGCTCATATCATAGAGTCTGTGAGCCTTTCGACAATTATTTCCCAGGTGTCCCTAGCTTCTCCCCTGCACTTGTTATGCTTCTCTGTTTGCTCGGCTTGGACCTTGTTCTTTTTCGGATGATTTCAGCTTGTGCTTCTGTCTGCCCACACTGCTGCGCTTCCCTGAGTGCTGTTTAGAGCAACATGCTGCCTGCGCAGTTCCCTGTGTGCATGCAGCCTGCGCAGTTCCCTGTGTGCATGCCACCTGCACAGTTCCCTGTGTGCATGCAGCCTGCGCAGTTCCCTCTGTGCATGCAGCCTGTGCAGTTCCCTGTGTGCATGCCACCTGTGCAGTTCCTTGTGTGCATGCAGCCTGCGCAGTTCCCTGTGTGCATGCAGCCTGCGCAGTTCCCTGTGTGCATGCAGCCTGCGCAGTTCCCTGTGTGCATGCAGCCTGCGCAGTTCGCTGTGTGCATGCTGCCTGCGCAGTTCCCTGCGTGTGCAAGGTGCCTGCGGAGAGAGGCGATGTTTTTCTGTTCTGTACTGCCTTTGCTATCTGGGCTACAGATAACAGTGTGTTAGGGTGTTGCTGGAGAGTGGAGTGCTAATGAAACTTGCAATTGCAAATGGATTTAAATAAATGGAAATACCGATGTAAAGTCACAAGGCAGGGCATATCATCGTGTGAAGCCAGTATGTGCCATAGCATAGCATCTGGTTTTCTGCAGGAGAGATGAGACACCGTTCATCCATGAGCTATTTAATCACCTCACACCCGGATGATGGTGGTGGAAGATGCTGTCTCAGACATAGTTCCAGAACACCCCAACAGCCCGCAATATAATGGAACCACCTTTTGGAACCAAGGACTCGGGGTATAAGGTTTTTCGGTTAGCACCACACTTAAACTTGTTTGGTTTTCAAGAACATGGTGCAGGCCAATTCTTCTGACCGTTTCATATTTCTCCAGGGCTGGGCATTCCATTGTCTGTGCCCTTTCCACCACTGGACCCACCAACATGCATTGCCATGTTTAAAAAACATTTTTTGCACACTGCAACCCAACTAATGATATCCTGCTCTGTGGAGTTCTCTTTGGAATGTTTTTGATTAAACTGTCCACTTATGCCCACATTGAACTGTGCAGTCAGTTGATCTGCAGTGGCTTACCTGTCTTGCACTTTGAAATACTCACATGTTGGTTTGTGTCTCCATCCACTGTTGCCCTTTTCTGATGATGTCTTTCCCTTGGGCTTCTATGCTGTCATCACTTTAGATACATTTGTGTGTCAAAGTTGAACTGTCTTGGTTATTGAAACTCCCGACAAAATGACTTTCTTCCAGCAATTGCCCTTCCTTCAAAGTCGCAAGGGCACTTTCAGCCATACTAGCCACCATTGTGCTAGCTGTCACGTGCTTAATCGATGCATGTGCAACACTTGTTCAGATGCCCTCCCTTTCAAAATGCTCGGTCTCCTTCATTTTCCACAGGTGTTTCCATTTTTGTTCCACCGCCTACTTAATCATTTCATTGTTGTGATTCTATATGTAAGCATTTTTGAATCCTGAAACTGCACTTGAAAAGGATGGATGCAAACAGGATGATGCATGTGGAAGTCTGCTGTGTTTTAGGGCTACATTTGTAGAAGAAAAACATGAAGAAAGGAATTAGCATTAAATGGCCGTGGGATTCCAAGTGACTGATACCAGTTTAGTCAGTTGTATTCAGAGTTTAGGCTGAGCACTCCAGTGTAGATATGCCCTTTTCAGGCCTGTCCTGCATCATAAAGTGACTGTAACCCTAGCAAATAGAGCGGCATTTAAAGAAATAGCAAAGGTGTTCTGTGGGCTTGGGTAGAGATATTGGATATCTCTGGTTTTCCTAAAACTTCCCATTTGCTTGTATACTCACTGTGCTGCTGCCTAGAATTACAATATTTCTTCAGGCAAAGCTGACTCTTCAGGCTAGGTCTTGCAGCATGAACAAATATCAAGAGCCTAATCATTTCCAGAATGGCATTTGCCACAAACAAGGCTTCTCTCCTCTGAACTTTTTCACTTTCAGAAAAACAAGATGCATGAAGATTAAATGACTTCTTTAAATGTTGATTTTCTGCTTTCTATCTGACTGTTGCGAGAATAAATACTTTTTACTTCCGCAAGCATATTGTAACGCTTACGGCCGACAGGTACTGTGTAAGAGCCGGCTTACCAGAGCAGTGACATCGCAGCCCTTCCCTGTGATAGCAGGACTACAGCTACTGGGCTGTAGAGAGATCTCTCTTTGGCTCACCGGGCTGGGTCCCTGTTGAGTGACGCGGGAGTCCCGGGTTCGAGCCCCCGACAGTGCGGGGCCGACCTAATGCGGCAAGGGCGCCCGCCTGAGTCCGCGTTGCGTTACAATATTTTCTACCACAGACACTGATAACTCCAGACACACATAAGCTTGCCAACCCCTGATCATTTCTTTCCTATGAGTGTGTTAATGTTAATGTTAATGTTTCTTTATTAGCCCTATACAATTTCTTCCATTAGGAATTCGTCTTTTTGTATACCCCAGCTTTTCTCCATGGAGACACAGACACACAGACAGGGAGAAAAGCTTGGGGTCAGAGCACAGGGTCTGCCATTCTGATGGTCCTGTAAGGTACTACTGTACTTTTTATTGGCCCCCTGATTATTTGTTTAGGAGAAAGTCCTGTACAGCAGTGTGGGAATTGCTGTCAATCTTTGATAATTTCTTTGGATTACTGTGAAAATCCTGTAATGTGCTGAGGGACACAGTACTGACCAAGGCTAATTTTTTAAGGCACATCTGACACTTGTATAACTACTGAGGGACTAGGTGTTGACCCCTGTTCATTTCGTCAGACAAGTACATAGCTGCTGTAAGTTACTGGGGAACCCCTGATCATTTCTTCAAGTGAATTGAACTTTCACCTATTAAGGGACAACAGGACTTGCAAAAGGATGTGCAGTGATTGTCTCTGACACATGCACATTTCCAGGGGAAAGTGTTGCTGATAGCTGATGTGTGGTGAGCGTTCTGGCGCACTATGGCTGCCGTCGCATCATCCAGGTGGATGCTGCACATTGGTGGTGGTGGAGGGGAGTCCCATTACCTGTAAAGCGCTTTGAGTGGAGTGTCCAGAAAAGCGTTATATAAGTGTAAGCAATTATTATTATTATTATTATTATTATTATTATTATTATTATTATTCACTGTGTGCTCATGCTGGCCCAAGAGCAACGTTGTGCCACGTTGATCAACAGCTGGCAAATATAAAGTGACGGGTTTAATAAGTATCAGAATCTATGAAAAATGAATAACATGAAGACGCATAAACCTTTAAAGCTTGTCAGAATTTGAATGTCCTACCAGTAGTGCATACTCTGCAAAGGTTTTTTTTTTCATGAATGAAATTAAGACCATCTTTTTGGAGTTTCACCACACATAAATAAATGTTTTTTTATTCATTTAACACTTGAGATATTGTTTGTAGATTAATCATTGTTATATATGAATATTATTCATATATTTGAATATTATTTCACTCATGGTCTCCCAAAAATGTATAAAACTGAATTTTATGTATTTCACAAAACAATATATACACACCCTGTAAAAAGACATTCCTTTTCAAACCACAGTAATAACACCACAGTATTCAAAATTGGCACATTCAACATAAGACCTGGGAACGTCTTCCTTCATGCAAATAAGGTTCTGAATTAATTTGTTTTTCTATGAAAGGAAGCAATAATAAAATATTTGAGCACTTCTTACTTTTTTACACAAAACAAAAACTCCTTAAAGACTAGGTATTATGCACAGTGAAATAATAAAATCTATATAATTAGAACGCAGCTCCTTATACACACAGTAAATGTCCAAGACACAAACACCAAGTAGCTCAATTTGAGCTCTAACTAAACTTCTTTATTTGAGCTCTTCTCTTTAGGGCAGTGTTCAGGATTTTGGACTTGTAACTGGTTTACTGGAAGGTTATAGGTTTAAATCTCAGGTGAGGCAGTATTCTTGTAGCCTTGAGAAAGTAACTAAATGCAAAAGTAAGTCCCAAACTGAGAGACACTTGCAAGATCCAGCTCAGATTAAGTGCATGTCTTCCTCCAAGTGGTCATTGTTTCTGAGGACTAGATCAGCTACAGTATGTGTCTGAACTTACCGTTTTCTCACAGTGTTCCTGTCCATATACTGGAAATGAACCAGGATGCATATGAACCAGAAAACATGTCTTCTGAGTTTCCATAAGTACATTCATACGACGTTTCTTCTTGATATTATTGGTTACCCTCGCATACTACTGTGATGTTACCAGACTACACTCTTACAGCAATGTTGTCATTTGTAGTGAGCTGTTGATTTTAGCTTTAATACACTCTTTCCTCAAGGAGCAAAAGCTGTTTATCTAGAACCACTTTGTCGTTTGCTGCTCCACATACAGTAGAATGTTTTTGTAATGTTGACATATGCTAACCACTCTCATTCTTGCCTGTTGCAGGCTCTTAGTAATTTTCTTTCATGTGCATGTTAGAAAGAGCAGCTCTATTTTCTGGTAATGAGAAGATGTCACATTTATGATAACCAGTTTGATACAACAACAACATGTCAACTGGGTTTGTTATGTTTGTTAGATTCTGTTGTTCAAATAAGTGCCCTGAACTTACTTGATTATGGTTGTAATTAAACTGAACCTAAGATGTTTACTATACTTAAAATTAGTTTTTAGCATTCACTGTTCAGTGTGAAACCTATAGTGCTTGTTGCCTTAAGGGATTACTCCAGAAAATCTTATTCACGGGTTCCAAAGAAAGATGGATTATAATGGCAGTAACTGTCAAGAGGGATTTGAAGACCTTGAAGGAATTTCCTGTACAATTCAGATGAAAATCACTCTGAGCCAGTCCAGTTTTCCAGTGTGTGCAGCATAGAGATGAAAATGTAGCCCGAATAAAAAACAAGTTTTCTCACTTCTCAAAAATATTGTATGTTAAGTGCAGAGATATTGGATTCTGCTCACTGACCTGTGGAAATACAGCTTAAAACTTAGCTGTGGCGTCCTATTTAAACGTGGGTGCTTCTTTTGCAACTTTGCAGTTCTTTTGTGCCAAGCTGATGGAAGAAGCCAACAAGGGCACATTTCCAGTGGACGTTGTGAAAAACATCTTCTCCAATACTTCTTCAATCTACGCTTTTCACAGCCAGTTCCTGCTGCCAGCCCTGGAGAAGCGCATGGGGGAATGGTGAGGGGCCAAGAATTCCTTTTCATTCTTTTCTGGTTTTCATTCTTGCTTTCCCCAGGACAGAACAAAACACAAGAACAGGGTCTCTGCTGGCACGTTAGAAATGAGAAGTTTCTGAAATCAAAGTTTTTCAAGCAAGCATATAAGGTTTCAGTTAGTGAAAGCAAAACCTAAAACAATCAAATGACTAGATATTATGTATTGGGTGGTATTAGTTAAGAGAGTAGACTAGAAGCTTTTTTGTTGCTACAGTATGTAGCCGCAATAAAAAGATTTGTCATTGACCATGAGATCTAGTAGCTAGTGCAGTTATTTTACACAGCAACCAAAAAGGCCTCTGCTAGGAAGTTATCAGGATTTTGTTTGTTTTATGTGTCAATTGATTCAACATTGTGAAACACCTAAAACTGTGATCGCACAATGTGACTAGGTTAACATAATAAACATATGTTTACAGATAATGAGTTTGAAATTTACATGTTAAGTCCTCTCTTCTGAGGAAATAAAATGCATATCCCAACTACAGTACTTTCTCTCAATAGTGGTAATTTTTGTTACGGAACAAAACCACTTTTTGCCAAATGGTTTCAAAGACAATGCCTTTGAGTTTACATCATGTTTCTTAAGAGAAAGTGAAGAAGACAAGTGGGCATGCATTTCTTTTTCTGTAAATTTAGAATTGCAAAATATTTTTGTTATACCCACCCAAAATGGAATTATCAGTTGTACAGTATGTGGTTCACATCTTGACTTGCATGAGGATGAGTAAGCTTCGGCAGATTTCTCTGACCTGCCTACCTTCCTACCATAAATCTTTGACCACATCATAGGCAATACAGCCACCGTATCTGAAGTTCAGCACTGACTAGAGCAGAGGTATGTCCCCCAATGACAGAAGTGCATGCTTTGTAAGTGCCTGGCTAGGTTGCTTTGTTACTGAGATCCAAGTGAAACTTGGCTGAATAACCAGATTCTTCCCTTGGTGGCACTTGGTGAATTTTGCATCTAGTCCTTGTCACAGTCGGCTAGTGACATGATGCAGGCAGGAATCCATGAAACAACCATCTGTCATTTGACACATTACAAGAACTGGAAAAGCAGTATATCTTTCACGGATGCCACTGAAAGTTGTTTAGAGTGCTGGACAACTATTACCATGATGGTATTTTGTTGCACAGTACAGTATGAGGAATGCTGATCGCAGTCAGCTAGTGACATTATCCGGGCGTGAACTAGCAACTGTGGATGATCAATTATTTTTGCTTGTTTTATGATGAAAATGAAATAAAAGAATTATGTGGTACTATATTGTGAGTCAACACAAAACCATGAACATTCAGCTTTTGAAATTGTAACATCTTTTGCTTTAAGTGTTGCACTGAAGTATACTGACAGCATACCTTATTTCCCTTTCCCTCTGAAGGAATTCAACACCAAGGATTGGTGACATCCTTCTGAAGCTAACACCTTTTCTCAAAATGTATGCGGAATATGTCAAGAATTTTGACCATGCCATGGAACTCTTAAAAATGTGGACAGACCGATCACCTCAGTTTAAAGCCATCATTCAGGATATCCAGGTAAATCCACCTTAGCATGATGACCCAAATTCAAAGCACCAAGCCTCCCCAGTGCAGTTATTTGTTAGTGTGACGCTGATACTTCTGCTTTTACAACTGTTGTTCTAGTTTTAACCATCATTATTATAACTATTACCATTAACATTGCTTCTACAATACTGATGGAACTTGTTATTAATGTTCTTGCTTCTATTACTGTGGTTCCCATTTCTACTGAAATATAGAAACATTAATAGAAATTAGATATTTTTTTTCCTGTCCAGTGGTTTACTGCTGCTCAGTCTGTCTCCTGTTGTGAAGTGGCTATGCAGATACCAAGAGTGTGTGCTGACATACTGCTCTTGCTGTGCTGTACCAGAAACAGGAAGTATGTGGGAACCTCACCCTGCAGCACCACATGCTGGAGCCGGTGCAGAGGGTACCCCGATATGAGATGCTGCTCAAGGACTACCTGAAGAAGCTCCCTCGGGACTCCTCTGACCGCAGTGACGCCGAAAGTGAGAACCACGCGCTCGCCTTCTTTTAGTGTGCCATCTCTCATGTCACACCTCTCATGAAGGTCATCAGATGCCACGGGTTCTGCCATGACTCTACAGGATCATCTCAGTTATTTCCATTCCACGCTGCACTTTTGCAGTCATTCTACACCGAGACGGAGATGGTTCTGAAATTAGTTTAATAATGATAAATAGCCTCTCTCAGCAGTCTTGTTATCTTATGAAAGTTAAAATTGCTGAAACAAAATTTTCTTCTATACCCACCCAATTTGGAATTACCAGTATTTTAAGACTAGGTTTTATGGCTGCGGCTCTTGTACTACATGAGGAGACTGAGAAACCACAGATCCAGAATTTAAAGTCCACAGTGCTTTATGGAAGAGTTATTGCAGTTTGGAGAAGATGCAATTCTAAAGACACCTGGCAAATCACAGTAGTCAGTGTTTTTCCAAAGGGTCAGAGGATCCTGGATTCACCAGTTCAGCAATTTAATTTCAGTTAATAGTTAAATGAGATGATGATCCTTTTTTCTCATTTATAATTAAAAGCCAGAGACTTTTTTTTGCCAGTAAAATTTAATTATGGTATTATGAGTTTTCTAATTCTATTTTCTCACACAGAATCTCTTGAAATTATTGCCATGGCTGCCACACATTCTAACAGTGCCATTCGGAAATCGGTAGGTACCAAAATGAAAATAATTCTTAAAAGCTCTTACTCATATAAGTATCTTTGACATGACATAGTTATTAACAGAAGTCTGAAACTCTCATAGAATGGTACTATTTAGAAATAGATTTGCAAGCCAGGAGAAAACATTTTCATGAATTACAGGACAATGCTGCTATGTTTTTGAGAACTTCAATGTACTGTATATTTTCAAATTCCAAATACACGACAGCTAATTTTCCAAAAACAAAACTTAATGTTTTCCTAAAATGTGCCTTTAAATTATCACTTGCTGGTTTTGGGCCTTTAAACCTCTGCGCTCAGAAAGTGGAGAGCAGATCTTCCTTCTGCAGTTGAAAGTCCTAAAACCTCCCCCTGTACAAAGGCCAATTCTGCTCGTTGTGTCTGTGCAGGATAATCTGAAGAAGCTCTTGGAGATATACGAGATGCTGGGCGAGGAGGAAGACATTGTAAATGCTTCCAATGAGTTTATTAAAGAAGGTCAGATACTGAAGCTGGCGGCTCGCAACACCTCTGCCATGGAGCGCTACTTGTTTCTGGTGAGTCAGGCAGGAGAGCATCTTAACCGGCTTTCGTTCTTGTTTTCTGAAGAAAAAGATTTATGTTTTATGTCCTTCAGTTCACTGACGTGGAGCAGCTTGTTCAAAGAGGCTAAGGCTGCTTTAAATTTGTTGTGTTCTGCAGAGAGAAGTCCTGAGAGCTGGTGCCTTGGGTTGTAATATCGCCTTCACACACAGGAAAATTATATACTCATATACAGTGCAGACCATAGGTATTTGGACAGTGACACAATTTTTGCTGTTTTGGCTCTGTACTCCAGCACATTGGGTTTGAAAAAAAAACAATGACTATGAGGTTAAAGTGCAGCTAGTTCATGGGACCAAAAGTAATTGGACACATTAACATAATTGTAAATAAAATTTGGCATGTTTGCACATCCTTTGCAATTGATGGCTGCCCAAAGTCTGCGACCCATAGACATCACCAGACATTGGATATCTTTCCTGGTGATGCTCTGCCAGACCTGTAATTCAGCCATTTTCTGTTCCTGCTTGTTTCGGGGGCTTTTTGCTTTCAGTCTTGTCTTCAGTAAGTGAAATGCGTGCTCAGAGGGATTCAGGTCGGGTGATTGACTTGGCCAGTTAAAAATATTCCACTTTTTGGCCCTGAAAAACTCCATAGTTGCTTTAGCAGTATGTTTGGGGTCATTGTACTGCTGCAAGGTGAAGCACCATCCAATGACTTTTGAAGCATTTGGTTGGATCTGAACAGATAAGATGCTTCTGCACACTTCAGAATTCATCCTGCTGCTTCCGTCTGCAGTCACTTCATCAATAAAGACAAGTGAGCCAGTTCCACTGGCAGCCATACATGCCTAAGCCATGACACCATGGCTTCACCATGTTTCACAGATGAGGTGGTATGCTTTGGATCATGAGCAGTTCCATTTTTTCTCCATACTTTTCTCTTTCCATCACTCTGGTACAGGTAAATCTTTATCTCATCTGTCCATAAGGCTTTGTCCCAGAGGGTTTTTAATGTACTTTTTAGCAAACTATAAACTGGCCTTTCTTACCAGTGGTTTGCATCTTGTGGTGAACCCTCTTAGATTATGCTGGTGTATTCTTCTCTTTATTGTAGTCTTTGACACATCTATACCTACTGTACATCCTGGAGAGTGTTGCTGACCTGTTCGACAGTTGAAAAAGGGGTCTTTCTACATGATTGGAAGTATTATTCAGTCATCCACTACTGTGGTCTTCCGTGGTATACCAGGCCGTTTTCTACTGCTAAGCTCACCAGTGCGTTCTTGACAATGTACCAAACAATTGTTTTTGACACACCTAATGTTTTGTCTATGTCTCTGATTTATTCTGATTTTGCAGCCTCATGATGGTCTGCTTTATTGGCATTAACGCTTCTTTGGTCCTCATGTTGAGAGACAACAGCAACAGACTCCAGATGCAAATGCCACATTTAGAATCAAATCTAAACCTTTTGTTAGCTTTCTTGTACATGAATGATGCAACATCACACAGCTGGCCAAGAAACAACTGAGCAGCCAATTGTCCAATGACTTTTGGTCCCCTAAATTGGGATGACTATGCACTGTATGAAAAGGGCTGTGATTCCTATATGGTTCACCCAATATAGACGTAAATACCCTCAAATTAAAGCTGACATTCTGCGCTTTAACCACATAGTCATTGTTTCATTTCAAATCCAATGTGCTGGATATTACAAAGTCCTTGTAAGATGAACTGGGAAGTATAAAAATACAAAAGATTTAAATGTGTATTAAAGCAATATGTGTATCTGATTCTTTTTTGCAGTTCAATAACATGCTGCTGTACTGTGTGCCAAAGTTCAGCTTGGTGGGACAGAAGTTCACGGTGCGAACTAGGATAGGCATCGAAGGCATGAAGGTGGTAGAGACATCCAATGAAGACTATCCCCACACCTTCCAGGTGTCTGGCAAAGAGAGGACTCTGGAGCTGCAGGCCAGGTGAGACTCCTGGCCTTCAGCCTTTTCTAGAACACTTAGTACCAGGTTAAGACCAGGCAAGGAACACAAGCTGGAAAAAAAATAAAGGGAAAAAACATAAACTATTCAAATTTTCTGATTACGTATGATGGGGGTTACCATCATACTTAATCACTTTACTGTCCTAGACACTAAAGTTTCTACTAAAGTATGCAAATTATCCTACTTCTGTCTCAGGCACAAGAAAAGACTGAAAGCAAATCTTTGAAGCAATGTTTAGTGAGTCATGAGTTAATTTGCTACAAATTGTACCTATCATCGGTGTCTCTCATAAATGTAGACGAACTATCATTTTCAAATGAGTATAGTTTCACAAATAATATTTGTGACTTAACGACTTCCATTCTAAGCAGGTAACACGTAACACTCTTTTAACAACTTCAGCTGTGTTGTCAAAAAATTAAGAATTATAAGAGCTGTTTATATGAGCCTCATTTCAACAAAAATATGCGATTTTTTCTCCCAAAGGCTTCTGTTTTCTATCCATTACCATTGTTTCTATTAAGAGTTTGAAATTTGGTGGTTTCGTTGTCTGATGGCATTCTGCACTGAAAGATAACTGTTTGGTGATTAATCTCAGTATCATTTTATTAATTCATTCTGCTTGCTGCCTGCTTGCAGCTACTGAATGATGACTTACGTAGTCAGGATGTGTGCAAGAACTAATTTGCCCAGATCAAAAGCATAACCATCTGAAATGTCCTTGGTGTTCTCTGGTTTTGAGAGAACAGTATTAACATTTCAGTAATTCCTTGTTTGTGGATGTAGTGCAAAGTGACCTATGTTGTGCAGTTGCTATAGAAATCATAATGAATGCTCTATTTTCTTTTTTTAGCTCTGAGCAAGACAAGGTGGACTGGATAAAGGTATTTCTATCACTTTTAGTAATATTTATTGAGGTGAAAATCAATTTTTTCTCTGAGTAACTATTACAAATGTGGGTAGTACTGTAAGTTTTATATGAAAAAGAGGCTTTCATTAGCTACCAAACAAACGAGAAGGGCTTCCTCTTGCCGGTAACCTTTCTGATGTTATTATTTTAAGAGGGTTTTCAGAAGCTATGAAAATATATTTTGGCATGCAAAAACTCTGAAAGAAATACTTTCATGGTTGTGCTTTTTTTTTGTTACGATATCAAGTGAATTTGACTATACTCAAGCACAAGATAGGCTATCCGTAAGTGTTATGGTTCTAAAGGTCATGCTAGATTAACATTAATTCTGGGTGGCATAGTGACCTTGTGGTTAGCATTGCTGCCTCACAGCACTGGGGCCCTTCCATTCAGTTCCCGGGGTGCTATTTATGTGGAGTTTGTATGTCCTCTCTGTGTCCTTATGGGTTTATTCTGGATGCTCCAGTTTCCTCCCCCAGTCCAAAGACATACTGTACTGGTATGTTCCTTGGGTTCTGTAAAAAATCGGTCCTGGTGTGAGTGGGTGTGTTTGTGTCTTTGTGCCCTGCGATGGACTGCTATCTGGCTCAGGGTGTATCTTCCCCCGCCTTGCACACAACGTTCCTGGGATAGGCTCCGGGTCACCTGTGACCCTGAATTGGATATGCAGTTTATGGATCATGTGATGTGATATACATGAAATCGCTATGTTGCACTCATCACAGAGATTAAGTATGTTTGTTGGTTTTTAGTTAATTGGTATTCCCTGTTCTCTACAGATTCCACTGACCACAAAAAAAATTAAGCTGGCTTCATGACAAGCAGTACCATTTTATGGACTGTGAATGAAGCCGTATTATCAATCTGATCTTTCTGTTTTTGGAGTGTTCAAGTATATGTGCTCGTCCTTGTGTTTTTCAGGCCTTCCAGCAAACTATAGAAATATTCCAGCAGAAAAATGAGACTTTCAAATCTGCAATAGCTAAAGAATATGAGGACCACTCTGGTGAAGTTTCTGTAAGTGTTTTGTTCGTTGATTTGGTTAGCTATGTTTACAGGTTAGATATTTTTAGACAGCTGAGAAATGGATAGCTGATATTCATTGATCTCCATAATATGTAAATATTGTAAAACTGTCTGAAGGTGACAGAGACAGTTTTTACAAAAATCTGATGGGATTATTGGCAATTCAAGCTACTAGCAGCCGTAAAAGCAAGATGGGCAAAAGACTTTTCATTTGTTACCTTTCCTTATGTTCTGAGTGGCCTTTATTTGAGGTTGTGTTCTGGCTTATCTCAAGTGATCTCATCTTGGTCTTCAGTGTGAATTATGATGCACTGGCTATGCTCATCATTCCCAACCTGTAGGTCTGTACTACTCTATTGAATGCTGGAGATCACTTTTTTTTGTTTGGTGTAGAATCTAAAAGCAATGTTTTCCTGTCTCAAGAGGGCAGAGTTGGGGAAGAGAGCCCCAAGGTGGATACGGGACAATGAGGTGACAATGTGCATGAAGTGCAGGGAGCAGTTTAACGCACTGACTCGAAGAAGGCATCACTGTCGGGCCTGTGGTTATGTAAGTAACAAACCGTTGGGTGTGAGGCATGCGTCACAAAAGACCTAATCGGTGGCATTTCAGAATGTAATGCCTAGTTATCTCAGCACAGGCTTTTTCAGTTCTTCCCTGTTTTTCTTTTATTGAGAGGAATTTGCAAGGACACAAAATAGATCTCCCTCATCCAATGCATGTATATCTGTATGGAATTGATGAAATGCCGATTCTGGATTTGCAATTTTGTTTTGCTAGTGTAACGGTTTTTGGAGTTTTCACCCTCGCCGCCCCTGCTTTGCCAGTTCGTCCCTCAGTGCCTGGGCACGAACCCGGGTCTCCGGCGTCACGCAACAGGGAGCTCCCCGGCTGAGCTAAAGGAGAACTCCCCCAGCCCGGGTGGCTGAGATTCCTGTTATATGCAGGGGCGTATTCGTTACACTAGTTAGTGAGGGAGAAATGTTACAGCTTTGGGTTGGCACAACACAATAGGAAAAGCACCTTTCCGATAAACCGTTCTGATAATGGATAGATGGTTAAGTTGATGGTTTGTGAATATGATTAATTACTTATTATATTCACAAGATGTGAAAGACAAAAGTACACTACATAGGCTACATAACCAATATTGTGTCTACAAGTATGTTTACAGGATTCAAGCTCAAGAATAACATTGCAGATTTTAAGTGAGGTCAGGGGTTGATGCTGTCAGTAACATTTTTCTTTTAGAAGGCCTCAGACTGCAGCCTCTGAAGCTTCTGTCACAGAACTCGGAGCGTTCAGTGGTGTGACTGCCATTGCAACAGCATGGTTTTCCATTGTAGGTGGTGTGCTGGAAGTGCTCTGACTACAAAGCCCAGCTGGAGTATGATGGCAACAAAATGAACAAAGTATGCAAGGACTGTTACTTAATTCTGACAGGGCATACCGACAGTGAGGAGAAGAATGATGGTAAAAAGAAAGGAATCTTAGAGGTGAGTGAATTTTTGGCATTGAAAAGAAGTGTTGTTTTTAAATAAGAATTTACAGTTTTACCCTGTAAAGGCTAAATAAAAGGTAAATAGTGTTACTTTGAGAATCCTGGAAAGTATTAAGCGGCTCAATAAAAGTTTTTTCCACTGGCAATAACCTGGTTTCTGTCTCCACACACAAAGCCAGTAAGTATAAACCTGCTATATTAAACATCAAGTATGTAGTTAGATTCTGAATATTTTTCTATTGTGGAATTTATTACAGTATATTAATATCCCATATTTTATTTGGAAAAGGGACGGGGAGAGGCTAGTGTCATCATTTTTAATATCTGCATTGAAAATTTTCAATAGCTGCACTAAAGGTAGTCTTGACTGTGCTTTGCTGATATGAGGAAAACTCATCTTCAGCACTGACTCAAAATCTATGATGTTTTAACACAAAGGCCATTCTTCTTTCAATAATGCTAACAATGTTTAGAAATTAGTATTTATTGCTCTACATTTTTGCATGCCTTCTGTTGGAATATCTGACAGATTTACAAAAAATCATTTTAATTGTGGTATCCTGCTCTTTCTTTATGGAATGAAACTCTTCATTGTAGTGCGGTTGTTAACCTGCTACCTCACAGCTCTGGAGTCAGGGGCTCGATTCCTGCCTCGGACACATGTCTGTTTGGAGTTTCCATGTTTCATGTGCATATCTGAAGATGAGTCTATGCCAGGGATCAGCAATCCTCATCATTGAGTCCTTGATATCTTAGCCCAAAATGACTTAATTTAGCAAATTAAATGGGTATGAAGTCAAATCAACTGTGAGACCGACTCAGGTACCAGTTGAAAGGTTCATCTAGAATCTGCAGAAATCTGGTGCTTCCGGACCAGGGCAGTCTACGTGTGGTATATAATGTGATAAAAATGAATGTGAAAAATGATTGCATCATTTACTCTCTGATATGAGTCTTTATATGGCTGCAATGAGCAATATTTGGGGACTGAAATCACTTTATTAATATTGATGGCTATGTACTATAGTTTTGCAATTTGTTTATGCCAGTGAAGAACCTTAATTCTTTTATATTTGGATTCGAATGCTGATGCATGTTTTTGCAATGAGAGGTTTCACGGCCCCCATTTCTCAATAGTTTATTGGGGTTACACTGGACAAAACAGTTGTTGTCCTTTACTGAATCGATGTTAATGTCCTTTTCAAGATTGAAGCAGCTCAGTTCTCTGGCAACAGCATCATCTGTGGGTTCCTGCAATACTCTGAGAAGACCAAACCGTGGCAGAAAGTGTGGTGCGTTATTCCTAAGAAGGAGGCGTTCGTCTTGTATTTGTATGGAGCACCGCAGGTAATATTTTATTGCCGTTGACTTGCCCAGTCCAATAATCTCCAGAATTCCTTCTCTTTACTCTTCACTGCATGATCAAAGATTAAATCAGAGTCTCACTTTCACTTGAATTACTTCTTGTCTTTCATCTCTTGGCTGCAGTACATTTTTCCATAAAATTAGAATGAATGAAACCAAGATCATGCTAGTGCACCCAGGGCCCGGTTTGAAACTGTACATTAAAATGGAGCAGGTACAAACACATCAGCCTGTGGTAATCTGACCCTGATTTTTGATCAGCGTCATAAAATGTCAGAGCAGAAAGTTATCATTTTACATTTAATCAGATAGTTCCTCCGCTTCAGGGTTCAGTTTTTTTTGTCATACGCACAATGAAATGCTGTTGGCATGTATGCTCCAATACAAAGACGTTAATTCAGTCAAAGAGGTAGATTTCAATATTCTGACTGTTTACAGGAAGAAACTATAAGTACATGCCTTGATGCTTCTATAACACTTACCAGTAATCCAATAATGGGCTGAAAAAAGAGTTTATAAAGAGAGCTTATAAAGAGTAAATTACCTACTGACTGTTCATGCAGATATATTCTGTGCAGTTATAAATCTTTATAGTCCAGTACATTGTGTTGGGTATGATTAGTGTGTGCTACATTTACTGTAAACATATTTACTTTCCAAAAATATACTGTATATTAATGTGAAGCCTGAAAGATACTGTAGGTACAGTATTTTCCCCAACATATCGTTGATTTATATTTGGAAAATCAATGAATGAGGAAATATCTGATTAACTTATATGATGTTATATGATGTTAGGGATTTCATTTTTAGGTAAATATTTGATGTTCTCCTAATGTTATTATCACATTGACCCCTAGACAGTTAACTAAGATTCAGCAACTAAAAACATTTACGTGAGAAACGCCAAATCAGCATACTGCTTCTGACATCAGTACCAGCTTTGGCAAAATGGTACCCTTACTGTAGTGTAGATTTCCTACAGCCATATCACCCTGCAATTCACAACTGGCAACCCACTGAAGCTCAGCAGGTGTGAGCCTGGTCAGTACCTGGATGTGAGACCTCCTGGGGAAAAACTAAGGTTGCTGCTGGAAGAGGTGTTAGTGGGGCCAGCGCTCACCCTGCGGCTCATGTGGGTCCTAATGCCCCAGTGTAGTGACGGGGACACTATACTGTAAACAGGCGCTGTCCTTCGGATGAGACGTAAAACCGAGGTCCTGACTCTCTGTGGAGTAAAAATCCCAGGGTGTTTCTCGAAAGAGTAGGGGTGTAAATTTCCCATTGGCCCTTACCAATCATGGCCTCCTAACAATCCCCCTCTATGAATTGGCTTCATTACTCTGCTCTCCTCCCCACTGATAGCTGATGTGTGGTGAGCATTCTGGCGCACTATGGCTGCCATCGCATCATCCAATGCTGCACATTGGTGGTGGTGGAGGGGAGTCCCCATTACCTATAAAGCGCTTTGAGTGGAGTGTCCAGAAAAGCGCTATATAAGTGTAAGCAATTATTATTATTATTATTATTATTACCCCACCTTGTGCCTATTGCCTGCGGGCTTCCCTGCAACCTGGAATTGGATGAAGTGGTTATAAAATGAATGAATGGATGATCATTCCAAAGAATTTTGTGAAATTCTCATGTGTTACGTTCTCATATTATTGTCCTGCTCCTGTCTTTCAGGATGTGAAAGCCCAGTCTACGATTCCTCTCTTGGGGTATGCGGTGGACGAAAATCCAAAACACATGGACATGCCTGCCAGTTTCAAACTGACCCAGTCCAAGTCAGTGCACAGCTTTGCGGCAGAATCGGAGGAGCTGAAACAGAAGTGGCTGAGGGTGATTAAGGTGGCAGTCACAGGGGAGGTTTCAGAGCCAATCCAGCCTGAACAGAATCTGGAATCGGCAGGGTCACAGGACAGCAGGGCAGACAGCCTCTGATCTTAACCTGTGGCACTGATAAGGCAGGCTTTCCTTCTCCAGACAAGAAGCTTTTTCTCCACTGCAGTTCGAATAGTACAATCCCCTATTGCCATAAGCAGGACCTGTTTTACAAGATTTAACACTAGAAATGTGGATTGGAAACTGCAAAATGCAAGACTTTCAAAATGCATTCTTTCACCTGGGACGTGGAATTTGCTGTGGCTGTGTTTTTGTTGCATCCTTCATACATCGAGCAAACCCAAACATAGCAAGGACAGTTACGAATGGAGACAGTGCCTGTTTTAAAGCAAGAGATCTATCTCTGTTCTTTGTTTTTTGGTGCTTCAGTGAACAAATTGTTCAACACAAGCACCCGCTCTCATTAGACATGCAAATCAGTATAGATATGTTAAAGAAAACAAGCATTTAATATATAGATGTGATTTTGCTCATCTCTTTCTAAAGGAGGACCCATTGTATCTTCTTCGATATGACCACAACTGTAAATATGTTGAAAGGATTTCCTTTTGAAAGAGTGGAGTTTGGACTGAATTCTTCACTGGAAAGTAACAGATGAATTGTCATATATTCCTAGCAACATTCATGCTTAAAAGTGGATAAACTCTGTTGTAGGTTTCATCCTTGACTTCCTACTCATCACTAAGCTCTATTCAAAACCAAATGAATTTCAAATAACCATGGAGAAAAATTGATCAAGTTCAAGATGTTTGTAATAAAACGCATAGTAGAAATACTGTATGTGAGGCATGAGTTCTCACTATAGAATAAGTAAGCCATGTTTTTTCAGTCATATCCGTTTTCTTACTTGATTCATCAACGATGTAAAATGCACAGCAAACAAATGTGGTCACCTGGAATTTTAAATGCTCTGTTACCTCTCCTAAAGACAATATGATACAATATGTGTAAAGATGAGCTTTCCATGTTGGATAAACACAGTAACAACAGACAGGTGTTCCATGAAGGAAGCTGAACCGACTCCTATGAATTTTTCTGTTTTACTTAAAATGTACCTTTTGAGACGAATGACAATAGCTGGTGCTATCCATTAAAAAAATACAAAGCAGTGTGGCTTTTAAAGAAAACACAGGGTTGGTTAGAAATTGTCCCCATGGTGACTAATTTACATGTCTGTAAATGTTATATGATTCATAAAGCATTGTTCCCTGCATATGCATCCATAAATCATCCTGTTGTGTTCAGAATTTGGGTACGTCTGTCGTTTCCAGTCATATCGATATTTTAATCAAGTATTACAAAGTAAGGCAACCTTCTTTTGTATCATATACAGTATGTATCACAATGCAATGTCAATGTCAATGTCAATGGCTAACTTCAGCTTTGGAGAGGTTTGTATCACCTTGGCTTATAAACTGTTCTCCAGACTAGCTATAACAGAATGTTACATTACAAATGAAACAGCCAAATGAAAATATTTAATTCCACAAAGCACATACAGTTCAGGGCTTTGTTTTTGTATAAAAAATTATATTGAAACATTTACAGGTTTATGACCACAATGTCTGAAATGCCAAAAACTAATACAGCATTTAGAAGGTAAACCCAGTGTGAAATAAAACAGATCTGTAGAGTAATAGGAGGGTTAAGCACAGGCCCTGCCATATTAGCAGGGACTGAATAAAACAGATACTGCAGAGGGCCTTTGTCCTTGAATCACCGTCCTACTAACGTAGTAAGTTTTTTCATAATATTTTTTATTAAATGTGAAACTGTTTCCATTAATTGTAAAGTAGCACCCTTACCAACGTTCACTGTTAACTGCAGAGATAATTAAGATCATACATTTTTTTGCCATTGTTTCAGTAACTCCTGACCTTCAGTTGTACAGAAAGAATTCAATCCTGGTAAATACTTGTATTTGCCAATTAGTGCCAACAGTGAGAAATGAGAGTTAACTGCAGTCGTAAGGTGTAAAATTATCATCAGCCTACAGCAGAAAACTCCAGGTTCTTTGTTAGAAAATTTATTTTGATAATTTGAGTTGTGATGGTTATACTTTGCTTTTTTTTCTTTAATCGCAGGGAAGATGTAAAATATTGTAAATGTCTGTAATTTTTCAGAAATTAATGAGCTGAAAACAATAAAAACACAAGTACAATCAAGGATCTTTGTCAGGCACATACATTGATAACAATGAGAATGTTATTTTTTTAAAAGATACTGTAATTTTATTTAATTTATAGAATGCACGCATGATCACAAATTAGCACAAAACCAGTGTTTTATTCCTACTGTACCTGTCTAATTTGTCAACATCATAGCAACTGTGGTCAGAGCTGTGAAATAACATTTTTCCTTTCCCAGTATGTGTCCATTTTAAGGTTAAATTATACTAATTCCTGTACATTTTGGTTTTAAACCTGAATCTTGAGACGTCATGGTTGTGTTAAGAATTCCTGCAGTATGCCATAATTTTGATAATGGATATGATCTTTTTCCATCTTTTACATAATATTGTTTATTATTATTGTAATGCTGAAAATTACATCATTGCTACTGTCAGATGTCAAATGATAATCTGAAAATGTATATTTTGTTCCTGTCACACACTTCTTTTAAAAAAAGTCATTTTAGGTAAAAGGACACAAAGCACATCTGGCATCTTTTCAATAAAAGAGACCTGAATGTAAGATAAGAGATACTAAGACTGGATGCAGTCCTGATTTTCCCAAATATTTGAAAATAAATGCACTTTACTGTCAATGATTAAATGTGGACCTTGTAAAATAAACTACTACATGATTGTCCTTTTTTGGGGCCTTTGAAGCCATTTTAATTTCTAATTTAGAACTAAAATGTCAGTGGAATTTAAAGTATAAAAGTCCAAATACAATCAGTTCTTATAAGGGCCTTAGTAGTCTTGTCACACATCAAGGCAGCTTAGCTGTTAGGTTAAAAGTCGATGTTGCAGATGAGGTGTACATTCGGAAGTCTTTATGCTCAGATCCAGGAGAGCTTTGGTTCTTGTTTTCTGTCTTCAATCAATGCTCCAAGATCATGTTAATTGAAATAGGAGAATAACTGGTTTCCTCTGAAATAGTTTGAGAAAGTCTGTTCCTTTTTTTATATATATATACTGATCCAGCTAATTATCAATTTAACAACAGGGTTTGCTTTAGCAGCACTCTGCAGTAGAAGCTATTGTAAGAGCCACAATTCAAATTTTCTGTCTGTATTGTCAAGCAGCTTTGTTCCTAGCCGGATCATTTTCACCTTTCTCTGAAGGTGATGAGTCCTAACAGATTTTTCTTCAGCTATTGCAGATATTATTATTATAATAATAATAAAATAATAATAATAATAGCTTACACTTATATAGCGCTTTTCTGGACACTCCACTCAAAGCGCTTTACAGGTAATGGGGACTCCCCTCTACCACCACCAATGTGCAGCATCCACCTGGATGATGCGACGGCAGCCACAGTGCGCCAGAACACTCACCACACATCAGCTATCAGTGGGGAGGAGAGCAGAATAATGTAGCCAATTCATAGAGGGGGATTATTAGGAGGCCATGATTGGTAAGGGCCAATTGGAAATTTGGCCAGGACACCAAGGTTACATCCCTACTCTTTTCGAGAAGCGCCCTGGGATTTTTAATGACACAAGAGAGTCAGGACCTCGGTTTTACGTCTCATCCGAAGGACGGCGCCTGTTTACAGTATAGTGTCCCCGTCACTATACTGGGGCATGAGGACCCACATGGACTGCAGGGTGAGCGCCCCCTGCTGGTCCCACTAACACCTCTTCCAGCAGCAACCTTAGTTTTTCCCAGGAGGTCTCCCATCCAGGTACTGACCAGGCTCACACCTGCTGAGCTTCGGTGGGTTTCCAGTTGTGAGTTGCAGAGTGATATGGCTGCTGGCTAATGATGCTGGTGCAGTTGTTCCCAATCCTGGTACTAAGGGACTCCTTTGCCTGCTGGATTTCATTCCAGTGGAGCTTTTTTTCAGTGTTGCAAAGTGATGCCTTTGTCAGTTTGCGTGTTGAGACTTGTTTGACTGTTTCTGCACTCCTTGATTTCACAAAATGTCAGTGTGTACATTTTTACCCCCTTTCCTCCATTCATTAAAGTGGGTTTCCTTGTTTTTCTTTTAAACAGCTCTTAATGGGTGATTAATAAAGAGACACAGGTGGGAATGATAATGTATTTAACGCCAAAACTAAGGACTAGTCGTTCCAGTGGTAGAGATTCAACTTGTTATATTTCACTTAATATCTTAACTAGGCACATTCCAAAATAGGTACAAGTTTTTATACAAAACTCAGTCTTTTTAAGAGCTCAAAGCAGACCTCAAATAAAAAAAAAAAGTTAAATGAACTAGCCTGCACCTAAGAACTCGACTGGGGAAAAAAAATTCAACGAGAGGTTCTACCCAGGACCACGGGTGGAAACAGCTGTACTTGTGATCATTCCAACCTTCTTTTCATTTACTAATTGAGACAATTTTGGTATTCAGTTATGGAATGGTGGTCCCTTTCTGTCCTGAAGATTGAGGCTCACCAGGAGCAGTAATCCAGTTATTAAATAGATTTAGACTTTACTGTTCGGAATGCTTTCATTTCGGTGTACTGTATTACTGCAAGTACAATTACCAGCTTCACACTGCCACCTCATATACGCAGATTAAAGACCAGGCAAGGGAGGCGATGTTAAAAAGTTAATTTTATTTTCACATTAGAAAAAGGAAAAAGCATTTTATAAATCTACTGATCTCTTCACACATAATATGAAAACAGTGAAGCACTGGAGGTGAACTATCGCTCAGTGACTCATGGTGCTGCTGCCAGTTAACCCTTCGTGGTCCTCAGGAGGCCCCGGATCCGTCTCACGAGTGCCTGGATAAAGGTGTACCGCGAGCGCACCTGGCAGTATAGCCCCTCCACATCCAAGACTTTCTTCTGCAAGGAGTCCCCGAAACTGCACGCCACATCTGTCTGTAACTGTCGGAGAGAATGCCAGGCTATTTCAATATTCCTGCTTAAATTAATGAGAGCCTGGAAGACTACCAACAGCAGATGTTTGACAAATGCCTGTATTTAGATTCTCTTCACAGGATTTACAAACTAAGCTCATCAGCTAAAGTGTTTCAAGGTCCACACTGCTCTGGACCTGTGAAAAAAGTCAGTCTGCTAACATCCTTGCTTGTCACTGAAAGGTCTTTGACGGGCTGTAATCCAAGTAGGTCTTGTTCAAGAGTGAAAAGAGTTATTTTAACAAATGTGTGCATTTTGAATTTAAAACCCTCTCTTCTTGGAATCACTAATTGTTTTCTCTCTGCTCACAGCACCTCACAAGAGGAACAGCAGCAAGTGGAGGAGTGGTGCTTCCCTAACAGACACCTCTGCCGTTTAGCAGAGAAACAAATCCAGTCAGAACCCCTCTTGGGGATCCATGACCAGAGCCGAAGGGTGATATGGCCCAGGCTAGAATAAAATCTGTTTTTTTTCTAAGAACATGGCTAATTTAACTTTTCCTGTAATGTAACTGTAATGTTGATTTTTTCTAAATAACCTCCAATCTGCCACACTCATTTTATTTTTTTCTTCTTGGTATTGTGAAGTAGCACATTTTTTACACTTCATTTTAGTGGAGCTGTGAGTGAATACAAGTCAAGGGGAACCATTCAGCTTGAGATCAAAATTCAACTGCTCCGCTGGCATCATTCACTTTTGTAATTGCTCTCATACAGTTCAAAGTCAAAACATGAGGACCAGAATATTTAACCAACTGAATATATAAAACAAGAAAACTACAGAGTAAAATGCTGTGGCATACTGGAGTGCAGTTACACTTGAGTTTTGCTTCTCACCTGCTCCAGATCCTGCTGACTCACTCGAGACAAACCAAAGCTTCTCATATCGCTGTTTGGCAACACTCCGAAGGAATCTGGAGGAAAACCAAAGTACTGCATTAAAGCCCACCTAAGATAAATTATGACAAATGACGGGATAATAGTGAAACGTATTCACTGCAAGTAAGAGCAGCCAATAACTCTCAGGGGAGATAGTGATATACACTTTTTGGTACTCAAAACAAAAACCTGCAAATTCTCAATTGGGACGGTTTCAGCTAACTGCTAATAGGAATTAACACAATTGACTGACAAGACACCTGAGTGTGACATTTTGGCTGAATTAACTACACATTCAGTCAAGAGATGTTAGTGGAAGCTCACAGAGTTCTCCATTTTCTTACCGTTTGGATTTCTGGAACTAAAAGAGTGACTGGCAGGCAGCAGTGAATGCTGGGTGTCAGAGGGGATACAGTAAAGCAAATAATACTCTAAGTGGCGCCAAAGAACAAATAGGCACGTCTCAATGATGTCTGAAGGACAAAGTGAAGGAATTCTTTTACCTCAAACACAGAATATCATCACAAGGGTAAAATATATCATTCTCAGACATTAGTTAAATGATAGTACATCCTCTGCCAAATGAGAAAGTCTAGTAAAATTAATGTGTATGAGTTGCAGGCCTAAGGCATGATGAGACAATGTAGTCTGAGCAATAAGACATTTTAAGAGTGTTGAAAAAATAGAAATATATCTGGAAATATATTTCTATCAAAAATACTAGATACCACAACTAGATACCACTAAAAGGAAGCAATGAGTAATAGTTAATCTAACAGTAAAAATGATTATAGTATAATTATAGATTAAAGAATTTTAACTGGGAACTAAACAGAACTGATATTCAACATAATGGTTCCTCAGCAGGCACATTTTAAGGTTCCACAGAATTATTTTAGGCAAGAGCTAGGGCATGAATCCTGGTGTTCATGCAATTCAAAAAGACTATCAAGGCTTTTTCTAACCGGTTCATGAAATTCAGGGTCACAGGGGAGCTGGAGCCTACCCTGGAAAGCAAGATGGGACACACTCTGGACAGGACACCAGTCCGTTGCAGGGCTGACGCAGACAAACACACTCACACCAGGGCCAATTTTCCCAGAAGCCAATTAACCCACTAGCTTGTTTTTGGACTGTGGGGATAAACAGAACACCTGAAGCAAACCCATGCAAACACACAGAGAACATACAAAACCCACACAGATAACACCCAAGGTCTGAAATAGAACCATCCCCAGTGTTGAGAGGCAGCAATGCTAAACACTGTGCCGCCCTACACGTTATGGTCAACTGAAAGGATGGATGTATACAGTTCCAATCAATTTTCTTTACAAAGCTTGATCTCCCACGTTTTCAGTGGAGGAAGAGATCTTAATCTCAGCGGGACTTCCTTGATAAATAAACCCATGTCTGAAATAAACAGTGTGAATTCTCCTGTCAGGGGGCAGAGTGTGCTGTGCTCCTGACTTCTGTGGTGCCCAAGGCCACTGTCGGCCTTTGTGCTGTAGGTTAGAAGTGTGTGGAGCAGGAAAAGGATACAGGAACACAGGGAGAGCAGTTTGGCGCGGTTGTTGATGTGCTTGACCAGACGCCTCTTGGCCAGGATGATGCGCTGCACCATGGAGGTCTTGTCCACTCCAATGGAGGTGGAAACAAGGGACTGACATAGCTGAAATGAGCAAGAAACTCCCATGAGAGTCTAGACATACGCCATATACATATTTCAGGAAAAGGGCTGTATATATATATATCTTCAGCATGCATAGGCTGCAAAAGAACAAGTAATAGGTTTATTCCATGCTGAAAAAAAGAAGAAAGAAAACAACGTTTCGGCTGTGGAGCCTTACTCACACCTGAAGAAGGCTCCACGGCCGAAACGTCGTGTTTTCTTTCTCCTTTTTTTCAGCATGGAATAAACCTATTACTTGTTCCTATATATATTTCTGTACACCACAGAAATTTTCAGAACACAATCTACAGCCCCATATGCTTTAAAAATAGGAACAGGTATGTCTATTCCAAAATGAACAATGAAACTCAGAAAAAAACAGTAAAATCCAAACATTTTAAAAAGTATTCATCAAAGTTGTATTTGAAGTTATCCAGTATCTGTGTCTGACAGGGCTAGCGTTAAATGTTTGTATACATGGTGTTAAATGATTTATTCCGAAGTCTCAGAGATGTTTATGACTGCACATCTTAAAAGTGTGATTTATTTGTATATTTGTAAGTCATTTAAAATTCACTTCTGTATTTTGCCACAATGCCCATGATACAAAACCAAGTGTAATATTGCTTTTAGAGATAACAAAACATTCACTAACAGATGTGACTGTTTAGACCCTCTGGAGGGCCCTGCCCCTGTCAGCAGATGGCTGACGTGATGCGGTGTGGGCGAGTGATAAGCTGTACCTCTTTGACCTCCTCCGGGGGAAGGTGCTCCACACCCTGCAGCTTGCTGACGCTCTGCCTGTGGCTCTCGTAGAAGCGGAAGAAGTCGCTGGCGGTCTGCTTGAGCAGGAAGATGATGAGACCCAGGCTGGGGACCCGGGAGTAGGGAGCCCCCGACACAGGGAGGTCTGCAGAGAGACGAGGCAGTTGGGATGATTGTGAAAGGGGGATACGCGCCGAAAAAGACTCGGACAGTTAACAACCTGTAAAATAATTCAACACCCTATGGTCAAAGTACAGCTTATCAACAGAACGAGGCAAAAATCTGGGAATTTTAGTTCACGCACATTTGGATCCAACTCACTGAATTGTTTTATTTTATAATTGCTAAACACATTAAGAAATGAAAATACTGCTTGTAGCAAAATCAGCAAATAAGTGCACTGATGCAAACAAATGTCTTGTCCAATATTGTGAAATAAAGTAAACATTATTTTGTTCCAGGTAATGAATTGTCCTACAAAGGCAAACATGTTGAAACAGGCTTCTTTGTCTCGAAGGCTCTGGTCATCTGCTTATTGACCTTACAACACATCTCTAAGTTAAACCTGAAATGAAGTTATTATCTGATTGGACCACATATTTTAATTTCGAATTGATGTCTTCTTTTTACATCCCCACAGTCCACTTCTTAATCGGTGCTAAGTTGCTACTATGACTCTAGTGCCAACAAGGGCAACAAGGCTGATGATCTTGTGCACATTCCTCTCCTAACATGCACTGCCGTTTGAATAAGCAGAAGAACATGAAAAGTCAGACAGCATTAACGGATTACAAGCAACTAGCATACCCCAGGGGCAACCAAGGACCAAGATCCTCAGCCAGCTCAAGCCAACCTAAACTCCAATGATCTTGTCCAGGAAACAATGGGCACAGGTTATGGGTTAACTAATTAAGCCACCTAGAAGTCTCCTTTTATTTTACATGTATAACTTTATACATGGTTTCTCTGCAACGGATTTAGTCCTGGCTGAAAAAACTGTCAACACTTCCAATAACCTCTCACTTCCTCACTCATTAGTGTGTTCCTTTCTTCCTGATACCTTCCACTTTTCCAAGTGTGGTTCCAGTTACATCTAGCACTTAAGAGCGGTGATGTCTGGATTGAAGGGCTCTAACAGTATATCAAAGACTTGCCTTCACCAGTCCCGCAACTCTGCTTAGAGTCATTTAGATATTTTCAGGTCGCGTAGACATACCCGGTACGTGTAATGTTACAGCAAATTTAAAACCTTTAAAGCTTCAAGAGCTGAAAATTGGGTGTAATGAAGGAAAGTATGAGGTTTGATGAACTGAGAGCTATGTTGTAAAAAATAACATAATGTAGCAGAGACTGTCAGAAATCCAGAACCAGTAGTAAAATGTCCTCTGTTGAGGTGTACATCATTTTATGTGTAAAGCTGTTGCTAGGTTTGAGAGGTTTTATTATGACCAGTAGTGTGACTCTGTGAGCAGAGCATGCGTTTCCTATCCTGAGATTTTGAGGCAAACCTGGCCTGGAGCCGTCTCGGCCTGTGGGCTCCATGACTGAGGGGCTGAAGAGACAGATGCTGAACTGGGCCTCCAGGGAGCTCTGCAGCAGCAGTGTCTGGCAGTACTCCATCACATTGGCGCATATCTACGGCAAAAGAGAACTGAGTGTCACTGAAGCAAAATCAGGAAGCAAACGTTAACACCTAATTATCTTTTTTTTAAAGGCCTGTTGGGCCTGAATGTTCCATTTAGGTGGGACAAAAATTTGTAAATGTATTAAATGTATTCTATATTAACTAAAAGCTCATTTAGCATAACTTCAGTATTTTTTTTAAGAAAAGATCAACCAAAAAGTAAACATGTCTGTGACTTTCAATTGAAATAAATAAAACATTTGTCAAAAACTACTGCATGTACAGTATTTATAATTGTATGTGTTTCAAATTTATTGATATGCTACTGTGACCTCTAACACTAATCTGATTGATGCCCCTGCTGTTTAGCATTTACATGTTCCCACCTGGCCAACATTCAAGACCGCAAATGATGTAGGTGCGTGTGGGTGTA